CTCAGGTAGCTGAAGGAAAATGTATTAGGCTTGGGACAAATCAGTCAATGCAGAATAGCTAATGGGGGTTTCAAATGGAAAGTCATTGAAGCTAGGATGAAGAAGAATGCCAAGGATGGCAGATTGGGAGATGAACGATACCGATTGATGGATTTTGTCATATTTGGCCTTGTATTGTTTCCATCTGAAATTGGGGTCATCAATTTGGAAGCCGCAAGTGTTTTCTTAGAATACGAGCATGACCAGATCAATCCTGCTGTAGTAATTTTGGCTGAAACCATGCTGTCACTCAACCATTGCAGAATGAATGGAAAGGGAGCAATGAGGTGTTGCGTCCCTATGTTATATTTATGGATTATCAGTCATATTGAAACACCAAAGGGCATCTTCAACAACTTCTGGTGGTTTGACCTTCGACCACTGAAAGTTACAATAGAGGAGACTTGGAGACATTGGGATGAGAAAGCATGGATAAAGAAATATTTTGCACTACCACAAAGCAACTTCAAATGGAAAGCACCGTGGATGAATAACACAGTCTGCACAATGAGTTGTGGGAGCAAGGTATGGGTTCCCTTGATTGGTGTTACTGGATACATTAGTTATGCCCCAGCACTAGTAACAAGACAGTTGGGTGGAATGCAATATACACCAAGAACTTTGGGTTTAACAATTTTTTTTGGTTTATTCAAACATCAGCCATACCTCAAAGAAATGGAACTCATTCGACAAGACTGGGAAAGGCCCGTACTGATGAAAAAGGAAGAAGGCAGTATGTTTGAATCATTTGTGAGCTAGAATTATGCAGTTTGGAGAAATGGAAAGCTTTTTGGGGTCATTGAGTCTTCAAAACCTGAACATCCTGAGTCCATAATAGAGCAACCAAAAAGAAAAAAGATTGATCATGAGGAAGAACTAAGAAAACAGTTAGAGAGATGCAGCACAAACCTCGGCAAAAGCAAAAGGCAAATACAAATCTTGGAAAAATAATTAGAAGAAGAAAATACAATGAGGAATTATTTGAACCAGCAATTAGAAGAGAAAGAGGAGCAACTAACATCTTGCAAACAATGGCAAAGAAGGACAGAGATAACTGAAGCACTAGCTAAACGGATCTAGGATAAGTTGAAGGATCTTAGAACTGAAAATGATAAACTGGTTCATAATCATAGGCTCACAGAAAAAGAGTTGGCCAAAATCAAGAAATCAACACAAGACAAGATAACTACAGATAAAGAGATAGTGGATTCTGCGAAGAGAGAAAGGAGTAATTTCATAGGAAAGATGGAAATTGAGAAAGAAAAGATTCGGCAAGCCTACCTTGATATAGAAGAAGAAAGAAATATGCATGCCTAATATATGGTACAATTGGAAGAGGAAAGAAGTATGAGAAAGGTTGCTGAGGCTGATATGAGAGATTACCAGAAAAGGGCCAAGTATTCAAAAGAACAGATAATGATTCTACAATCCAAGCTGGAGATACAAGAAGTGGGGTTGAGAAGTCATTATAGTGTGATAGAAGAAGAGTTACATGAGTTGAAGCAAGAGTACTAGGAGTGTCAAGACTATATTAACAGCTTTGCGGTTCAAATGAACTCCAAAAACACCGAGCTAGACATTGAAAGAGAAGAATTACAAAGAGCTAAGGCTACATTATCACTATTAGAAACAATGGTCCGAACATTGGAAAAAAGCAATGAAGTCTTGGGAGCCAACAACAAAGTGAGCATCACAAATAACACTTTCTTGCATGACCAAATAAGACATATGGCGAAACAACTAGGTTAGTATCAGGGATTATGAGGTTATACGTAACATGTATTCTTGATATTAAAAGGTTATTTGGTTTTATTAACGACATAGAACAACTAGGTTTTACCCGATAAGATAAAGATCTCATTACAAAGGAGGACTTTTCTTAAATCTTAGATACACATATAATTAGATACCACAACATGATTTCATATTTTATCAGACAAAACAATGCAGCTTATCTTAGGTAGGGTGTAGTTGGGGTGCTAATACCTTCTCTTTACGCAACCAGTCTCCGTATCCGATCTCTAAAGACCAGTTAGGATTCCTAGTTACCAGAATACTAGGTGGTGACTCCCATTCAATTTTTTCACTGATAAGAGATAAGAATTTCTTGTCTCTTCATATCTTGCTAAAAATACACCACATCTCATAGTTAGCATGGATAGTGGATGATCGTCGCGACGTCGCACACATGCGACAATATTAATCATCGATATTATTGCCATCTTTTATTTTGAACGCACCCACAATAGTAAACAAATTATTTTTGAGCTGTTTGCTTATACAAGTGAAAAGGTTTACTCCCTACTTACGTTATTAATATATGATGTAATATATTCGGATCCATTCAAGTTTGAGAAAATAAATTTATTGTGATTAATTTATGTCTTTATTTTACTTTTTAACTTTTTGTTTGTGTTATTAAAAAAATAGATAAATAAAAAAATATTTTTTAATAACAAAAAAATTGGCTTGATTTTCAAATTTTTTTTTTATTTTGGGTGAAAAACTCTTTTCAAAAAATAAAAACATATATTGATGTTTTTTAATTATATTAAATCTAACCATCAATCTTTTAATTGTTATATATATTTTTTATTTTTTTTATTTCACCCCATATAATTTTTTTATACCAATTTGATTCTTATTTTTTTATTATTTATTTTATTTGAAATAATTTATAAAATTATTTTTTTAAAAATTATCCTCTTTTAATTTTTTATTTGTTAGATTTGATTTCATTCTTATTATTACTAATTTGAAATAATTTCATTCTTTATTTTTTTTATTTTTTAAATTTAATCTCTCTATTCTTTTAATAAACTTGAAAGAAAAATAAAAAAATTAGTTTATTTTTATAAATTAGTGAAATATTAGAAAATATTTTATAGATTATTTTTCATGATACTATCAAATACTAAAAAATAATTTATTTTTTAGAAAATTACTTTTTGTATAAATTAATTTCTAAATAAAAAATTATTTTTTGTATAAATTAATTTCTAAATAAAAAGGTGCTTTAATTAAAAATATTTTCACAACTGAAATGATTGTTGTATATTCTTCGAGAATTTTTCATCCTCTGGTATGGTATTGACTGCAATGATTAATTGAGGAGCCACTTGCCATCAAGCAAAAAGGAATGTTCATGAAGTCCACGTAACTTGCGTTTCATAGCCTATCTTTTCACACACATAATTAGACTTTGAGTACAAGTCATCTCGATTGCAATGTTCAAATTACACCATTAAGTAATTCATTATTTATGTCTTAAAAATACAAATAATGTGTCTAAAATAATAATAATAATAATAATAATAATGCTATTATTTATTTATTAATTAATTTTAAGCCGTGCATACACAATAATTATAGCTGGATTTGGATTTTTTATATATCTGTTTAAAACATGATTAGTCGTGCTTAATATTAAACCTGAATTGAATTATTTATTTTTTATCATATAATAAATAATGATGTTCATTCAAATTAAATTTAAATATTTAGATTTAATAAATATGACAATCACATTCCTTGCAAAACATGAAAGAATTCAAATCCGCCCTGGCTAATACCATGTGAGATTGGAATCGAGCTCTGCTCACGTCATAATTAAGCCCAAGCATCGTAAAATGAAAATTAATTCTTGGAGAGGCTACCTACCCAGTCTGCTGGTAAGGTAAAACTTCTCGTCATTGTGCAAGGTCGGCTCCTTCAAATAGTCTCCCCTGCCTATGAGTGCTATCACATTGGAAAAAAAAAAAAAACATACCAAGAGATTCATCCGTGATCAAATGGTATTGTATTTTAATGTGTATTGAGGTATTGATTGTTATCCAGAAGAAATGATTCTCACAACTTCCATTTTCTATGAAAAGTGTTGTAAATATAAAAAACCCTAATTTTTTTTTTAATATAACAATAAACATGATATTATAAACTGTTTTGCCATATAAAATTTTACTCGAAAATCTTTTAGAATAGTTAGAATTTTTAAAGAAGAAATCAAAATTATTTCTCCAAGAAGTTTTCATGAAGTTTTCTTTATGGTATTACTTGTTTTTATTACTCTAATAATAATATTTGTGTTTTTAATAAAATTTTAATATCTTCAAATGAAATCTCTGTATCTCTATATAATAATCTTTATAAACATTAATCATGACCAAATCTCCTATTTAATTATATTTGATGTATAAGATAATAAATGTTTTTTTCCCTTATTTTGGTTGAATATTTCAAATATAAATATTTGAAAGCCTCTAAAGAGAAAATAATTATATAAAAATAAAAAAAAAATATTCTTAGAATAGTATAAACGACAAGAATTTTTTGCCTTTTAGTGGCAACTTTCTTTTTTGTCAATAAAAATATCCTCTAACTTTTATATACATATAAAAAAACTATTTTCTTGTCAATAATTACCTTTTGTTAAATTGTCTGCTTAAAAGTTCTTAATGTTTTTGCCCACCAACAGTAACATTTTACAAGATTTTCTTTATTTTTATGTTATTTATATTATTTTAATATATTTTTAAACAAATAATATTTTTAAAAGCAACCTAGAAGTCTCTCGATCACCGTCAAAATCTAACACATCTCCCCTGCTATAGATGGCGTTTCCCTTTTAGAAACTGGACAAAGAGAAATCTAGTTAAGCAGAGGCTGGCCTTCTGGGTTTGGCCTCAGTGAGCACAGTTGAGGCATGTCCGTAAGGTATTGGGCATCAGTCGCTAAGGTTTATATGGTGAACCGATCCATGTATATCAGAACTCTTAACAATTGAATGTAGATTCCATTTACGCAGTAACGTCCAAAAGTGATTGGGTGGTAGAGTTAACTCGGTTCCTTGCCAGTTGCAGGCAGGCTCATGCTGCCTATTGATAAGCACATCAAGTCTTGCATCCTTTTTACAGGGCCAATGAATCTTGCGACCGTACAAAAACAAGCCAAAAGGTTGCAGCTGCTGCAAACAATCCGGGTAGTGGTGAGGCAACAATTCCCACATTGAGCTGTAACAACATTTTTATTTTTCTAGTGAGAGTCGAGAGTTACATTTCCTTACACATATTGCTGGCATATATTTCCACTTGCACAGCGGTCGTGTGATTGCACAAGATGTAACTTCCATTATGTAAAATGCCTACTGACTACTCTGCCACTACAAGAAGACCTAGCAGCAACTAAACACTCCGTTCCTACATGTCAATTTGGATTAGCTACTCGTTTATGTCAGTTTCGTCTGTCTTTTCCGTCCATCACATAATTCAAATTGCGCTCCGCACTCGGCTTCATACCTGCATAATCAATTCTTCCATGCCGTCCCTCCTCACATCATGATTCATTCCAATATTGATTCCTTTTTGAACCATTGTTTGCTCCAAATTGCTTGATGTTACAAGCATCTGCAGAACAAAAAAGGAGAATTTGTGGGGTACCAGTTAGGCTTTTCTATCGAACACAAGCAAAGTTATCAAGTTGGCCTTTATGTATCTATTCAGCAATACTTTACTAACAAAAACAGAAGCAAAATTAATTTTGATCGATAAAATCATGTCGCAGCAAATGACTGCTGCCAATGCAAGCCATTAAGAATCATGTCCTGGTATAAAGGAATTAAAGTATAGCATCAACTGAACCAAAGCACTTTGCTCCTAATCAAAATATTCCACAATCATATTTGTAATTTTATTCCAATAATGCATCTTTTCATATTGTATGGCATCATAGGCAAAGAAAGCAACACCACTTCCTTTAAAGCATATTTTCCATGGAAATAATATAAACCCAGCAAAGGGATTCCTAGAGAAGGAAGTCCCTCCACGCCTTTCCCAGCCAGCATGCCCAGAATATTTTCCAACTTGTTACTCTCAGCAATTAGCAGTAAACTGGGAGTCAAATTCATTGATGTATACAGTTGCTTCTTTTCTTAGACATAACAGTTCAAATAAAAGTTTATGAAGATTCGTCTAAGTGCAAAATAGGTAATCATAATACGTCAGGCGAGGCAGCAAATCCCCAAATCAAACCGTGTTCTGTTATTCTAATACCGGTTCACACTCCACAGGATGGATCACAACTTTTAATTCAGCATACTAAGAATGATGAAAGCAGCTATTTAATCAGAGGAGGTGCCATACCTTGGTTCTAAATGATTTGATCACTGAAATCAGTAGCTTGTCCCCTACAATCTTTCTCACTTGTTGTATCAGTTCTTGTCTAGAAATCTTCTTTGCCTGGATCAGAACCTCAACAATGTCAGATCATACGATCCTACAAATAGGACAACTTTCAAATTCTAGTTCCCCCAATAAATCTAATTCTATTACTCACTCTGTGAGCTCTATAATACTTGATAATCAACTTGGTAGCAGTGGGAGGCAAGAACTTTGAGAGAGCAGAAATAAGAGAAGGAAATGGCATCCAAGGAGAAGTTGGCTTCCTCAAAGATTCAGGAATTCTAAAGTAACCTGCACAATCAAACAACCAAAACCATATGATTACAATTCAAAAATTGTCAACAAACAACTTCCCAAACTCAATACATCATCAAAAACTAATATTGTGGATGACCCACCTTTCAAGCTAGAAGGAGCACTGAAACTTATCACATACTCTGGCAAAATATGAGTGTTCATATGGGCACTCCACACAATATACTTCTTAGGAGATGACAAGCTGTCCATTCCTGAATCAAACTCATCAGAACTCGGATGATACTGATCAGAACCCGGATGAACAACCTCTGCCTTCCCCAGAATAACACGGCAAAGCAACATATGCCGCAGACCATCTTTACCAACATTCAATTTCTTCACACTGTAAAAAACAAAAATGAAAAGGATAATAATAAGAAGCATAAGATTGACAAACTACACCATAGCTAGTAAAATCCTCTCAGAATCATTGCTCACATTATTTAACATGAAAGCAGAACAAACAGCACAAACAGGAAAAATATTCAATAGAGATAAATCATATGCTTACCATTCAACAGGAGAATCATCTGGAGAAAGATAAATGCCAGAACCATACAATCCATTGCTGTTATCAATCATCCGGGCACTGAAACCATGCTTCATAATCTCACAGATCTCATCTCTTGTACCACCATACCAACCAAACTTGACATTCGCATCGCCACCACACTTCTTCTCCATTGCTTTCGCAATAAGCTGAAAGGATTGCATTCTAGCTTGCTCCAGAACACCAGAGTAAGTATTCCTATGAATGGCAACAACTGTTGCTTTCTTGCCAAGTAAACCCAAACCCGAAACGAATCTTTGCTTAATGAGATCATGAACTCTATCTCCTTCGAAAAGTCGAATCAACCCATCATTGAATGATGGAGATTGATTGTAACTGACTCCCGAACTAAAACTTTCGCTATCGGAAACAGCTGATTCCTGATCATGTGAGTGTCTGCTATGAGTGCTTTGGCACTTTGAAGGATTATGTAAAGACTGTTCTGGCGTGTTTTGAGAAGTAAAATCATTAAAACCATGTGTGATTTCATTGGTATTTCTGACTTGAATCGGTGAATACTCCATTTTTAATTGCTGAACTCGGTTGAACCAGAGATTTTACAATTTAACTCGCCTAAGAAATCCCAGAGAAAAACGGAGTAGTTTGTTTCTTTCTTTTTTTTTTTTTTTCTTGAAAGAATTGCTAAAACTAAAAGGCAACTTGCCTAGGCCTATGGAAAGACAAACTTAAATTGTATCAGAAACAAACTAACAACGCATTTTGTAAGCAAACTTGCACCGGAAGAAAACTGATCCAAAATTAGAGCATATAAAGTTAAGAAACAAATCAAGAAAAAGAAGGGAATAAAGGCTAAAGGGAGGGCTGTGAAAGTGATTTGAAAAGAGAATAGAGAAGCAAGGGAATTAAAAGAGAGACATAAAGGAGTGCAGCTTGCTATATAAAGCGTGTGGTTTATGTGTGAGAAATAGCAAATCGAAGAGAGGAAGAGGGAGAGGTTGTTTTTGCTTCGTGTAGCTGTGGTTGCTTGGAGGAGAGGGAGAGAAGATTTAAAAAGGAGTTATAAATATCAACGGAACCGCCTTTTCACTTTGGTTTCCGTTAGGCGGTGAGTGGCGGCGCAAGCTGTTTTCGTTTCACCCTTCCCTCCTTCACATACAAGGAATACCCAGCCAGCCAGCCAGCCTGCCTGCCGTTTTTATTTTCATTTATTTATTCATTATTACCGAAGCCATGGTGGTGATGGTCGGTACCTCTTTTTTTATATATATTAAAAAAAAAACATTTCAGATTACGAGACAGGCTCTTCTTAAATATTTATTTTTTTATTTTTTTAATTTGATTTTGGAAGCCATGTGGAGAAGGTGAGGTCATCAACATGTCATTATCTTCGGGATATTTTCTCATGGGATTCAAAGTCTTTTCAAGGGAAGATAGGGTAGCGTTACGTGTCAGGATTAAAACGCGCCACGTAGAGGTACGGATCACGAAAGCAAGATGATATTTTGAAGGCCCAACCGCCCACGCATCCCTAATTTCAAGAAGTCCTATTGAGATTCATTTGGCAGAAATATTAGTTTTAAAGGTTGTTTGGGGTTATGGTTTTGTAAATTTTTTTTTATTTGATATTAAAAAATATTATTTTAAAAAATAAAAAAATGTTATTTTAATATATTTTCAAATAAAAAATATATTAAAAATAACATATTTCATTTTCCATTTCTCCTCTATTTTGCAAAACAAAAGCCAATGATGAGCTTAGACACTGTTAATTATAAGATGTTTACCCTCTGTATTGTTATATTATATAATATTGTAAACTAGAAGCCAGCCATTTTCAATTTTATAATTTTTAATTTGAGTTGGATGATGCCAGGTGGTTGGTTTTTTTTGTGCTCTCATTTGATTATCCTCAAAATAAATAAGAAATCATAAAATTGTAACTTATTTCAAAATAGATAATAAAAAATAAAAAAATATTATTATCAATTTGCAGAATGGGGTCGGTTGAGAAACGGGCATTTTGTCGGCTTTTTGCATTTCCATGTAAGAAAACAAAAGGCAGGATTTGCGGAAAAGAAATTAAGAGTGAAAGATAATTGAAAAAACCCTCAGAACCGCTCACGTGTTTACATCAAAAGGAAGGAGACATGAAAGAAAGGCACAGCTCTCTCTTCTAATGAAAATGATTGGTCAAAATGATCTTTCATATGGTCAAAATCTGCGCTTTGTTTACAAAACTCAACTCAATGACATAACTTTTGAAAGTGTTTGATAATTTTTGAGAATGTTTTTTCTTTTTTCGAAATGCTGAAGAATTTTAAATTAAAATGAATTTATCGGCCATTAATGTTCTTTGAAAATTAAAGATTTTAAGAGTAAGGAAGATCTTAAAATTGCTTAAATTTTCTTTCATTTATAAAACATATTTTAAAGATTATTTTTTCCAAATTCTTTAGAAAGTGAAAAACATAAAGAAAAGGTCATTTTGAAATCATCCATTACAAAAAAAAGACAAGGGTTTGGCTTGATTCACCTCGGAATAAATAAGAAAAACTAGGGATGAAATCTGAAAAAAAAAAAAA